GCAATTTGGGAATTAAGTATCGGAATAGCCTAGTGGGTAAAAACGTAGGTTTAAGTTGCGTGCGAGCAGGCGGTCGTAAGTTCGAATCCCCCGAAATAGGAAAAATTCATTTCACTAAAGAAATCAAATTACATTTAAAAAATAATAGAATCGTAAACAAAAGCAATGAAATTCAATAAAAATACATTGCTGACAATTTTTTTTTCAATTTAAACAATATCAATGTTGATAAAAGTGTTATGTAACCATAATATTACTGTAATATCACAAAGTTATAAAACAATGTTATATAATTAAGGTGGAAATAGTAACATCTATGTTACTTCTATTGTACGTAACTGTAATAAAATATGTAACAAAAACTATGTCAAGGATATATAACTACAATATAGCAGTGTTTACTGGATCTTACTTAAATTCGAAACGACACAATGTAGTAATAGTATTCGTGGTTGGAAATCTTCTCTCTCTCTTCTCTCAATTAGAATGTTTTTTTGTAGCTTTTTTCAGCTTATTCCTAACATTTTTAATTTCAGGATCATTGAATATTAATTTAAGGAGGCTTCGGTCTCCCACATTTATTAAATTCTGTATAAAAGAACCGGACCTCTATCTTATTATTTTACATTTGATCGATCTGGAAACAGTAAGCCAAGTTTTCTATAATAAATCTTGATATTTGCTTGTCTCTATACTATATTTAAATTTCTCGTCTTCAACCAGTTTAACAGAAATTTCTCTCAGATAAGTGCAACCATATCTTCTAATACAGGTAAAAAAAGCTCTGGTTGTGGCCATGTAAGCAACGATATTTTCAAAATTTCATCCTTTAACTCTACAAAGTCTCTCAGCTCTACATAAATTTTTAATCTTTTCGAGAATAGTAATTGCTTTTGATTGTCAGTCATTTGATTCAATAAATCGAAAAAATTGTGACTTAAAATAGCAAGGCAAATGGATTTTACTATGTCTTCATCTATTTTCTTATCAGTAAGCCTGTGCCAAAAATATTTTGTGGCAAGAAAATAACGTTGTTGTATTGATAATCGCAACATATTGTATTCTGTTGTTGTTTTGTTTTTCAATATCTTATAAAAATAAGCAGTTTATCATTTTAGCAATATTCCCAGTATGATAGTATATGTTGTTCAAATTTGTTGTATACTTCACCACTGTAATAATTATTTTGCAGATCATTTGGCATTTCATTCTATAATTTATCAATGTATTCTTCTAATGCAAATTTAAATGCGAGATTGTAGGTTCTGATAACTTCAAAATTAGGATTATTGAACAAAAACTTTAATGTAATGACTTCATCCACATTGCCAAATGATGTCCAGAATCTTTTCTCAGTATAATTTATTGTTTCTCCATATTTATAATTGATGTGCTGACTCTCAGGAATCTGTGCTTGGCTCACTCCGCGGACGATTCAATTGTCATTATAGATGGAAATTCTAGAGAAACCCTTGAGGCCAAAGGGCAGACAGTCGTTGACACAATACTCACTTGGTGCAAGAATGCCAAGCTCGAGTTATCAAAAACAAAAACAGATACAATCTTTATGAAACGAGAGACTAAATTTAGAGGCAAGAGGAACTACAGGGATAAAAACAATCCCAACGATCGGAAACGTAAATCACACCTCGAAAGAAAGATAGGCATGAATGTAAACTGCCGAAAATCACTATAGAGGGTAATAAAATTACTATTTAATAGAATGAGACGCCTTTCGTGAATGCGTTGGGGATTCATTTATCACACTTGTCTAACACAGAAAAGACAAGAAGGCGTGTATAGTACTAACTTGTATTTTTTAAAGAAAAAGAAACAGAGTTTGCAATACAAAAAAAAAAGACCCCTTTTTACATGTCATAGATGTTTACTAAATATAAAACAGGTGCGCCAAAAAGCTAGCTCCAAAAACGTCATAATCTGGGAATCACTGCTGCTAATTCCTGGCGCGTAATACGAATTGTAAATTTTAGCAGATAGAAAATAGAAAATTTCTAAGTCGTATTATCCTATTCAGTTAGTCAGTTTTTCATTCAAATATCTACTATCATTTCCTATAGAATTGCTAATTACCTTTTAGAATCATGATAATCCTATTTAGTTGTTTGAATTGGAAAGTTCTGAATTCTGTAGGTTTTACGATTACCATTTATATACCTCTTCGGATTTGCATAATCTTATTAGACTTCCTGCGGGTAGTAAAAATTTCTCAACTTTTCCTATTCAAATTCTGGAAAAATGCATAGGATTTATTCTTTTTCAATAGAAGTGTTTGAAATGGCTAGGGGTACGGCATGAGACTTTTAATTTCAATTTACGTATTCCAACAACGTTCAGACAAGAGAGAAAGAGAATATGTTCAGTGCTGCGTTTTCGGAGATAGTAGAGCACCGCTGCATTGGTTCTTCTGTGAGAGGTCAAAGGTTGCGTTCCAGCGAAGTACCTTGCGTACTACCTGTTACCTCCACCGCTACTTCTCCACTGAAATGGCATGTAAATCTTATACCAAAGCGTAAAGGATGTTCCGAAGGATATTCAGGATCAATAGAGTGCAGTGATTATTTATCGCTTCTACGTTATTTATCACCTATAAGTATTTCAACTAATATAAATAATCGCATTGATCACCCAAGCATTTAAGTTAACCTTACAGTACCAATTTACAGTGTAATTAAATGGTAAATACTGGGTTTGAAGGGATTTCTAACAGTGTTTCCCGATGGATTAAAAAACTCAATTATCACGATTTACAATTATAGTTAGCCGTGCATTACCCATGTGCCCTTACTACAATTGAATATGATGACAAGCTTACCCTGAGGTTGTCCTCATGGTTCTATAGAATCTCCTCAACCCAGTCAATGGAACCCCAATCCGGCTCCAGGTCCTTCAAGGACTTCGAAGATGTCCTATCCTCAGGATTTCTTCTTCTACTGACTCAAGCTCCTGGTTGCCATGACCCGTAACGTTGTTGGCAGCCTCTTTGACCGTGACTTGCTCTTCCACGACTATTTCTCTCTCAACCAACTTTTTGGTAGTAAAGTATAAGTACCGAGGAGCGCAGTTTTGAGTTCGATTCGTTTCGAGTGTCAAATAAATGATTCCAACGCTGAGGACGGAACTGTATCAGATTGTGAATCAGAAGACTCGTTTGAGTTTCAGAATATTTTTGAAAAGGGAGAGAATAAATTTAAGTCAAATAAATCTAATATTGTTATCACCAAAGAGATGTTTCAATATCTGACTTGGTCTAAGGTTCTCTATCGACGGCCTAACATTTTTCTCCCCATCGAATAATTAGATGACTCGAGATCTCTCCTGCCAACTCATTTTCGCCAATTAGACAACTCTAATTAATTCCTAGACGTATATATCCCTTCTCGAAGGGCCGACTCAAAGTCAGAACAGTTACACCGTATGAAATTGTTTTTGGTAAAATTGCTAGAGTACCGTCGAGTGAACTTTTACACGATTTAGATTGCTTACCCACGTATAATAATTATATTGGTAATTTAGTAGATAGAATGACTGAGTTAAGAAAATTAGCTTATAGTAATTTAGTCAATGCAAAAATAAAGTCAAAAAAATATTATGATAAGAAAGCTAATCCTATAGTTTTAAAAACAGAAGATTACGTTTATTTATCCAAAGGTCCAAAACCGGGAAAGTTAGGAGATCACTTAAAAGGACCTTATGAAGTTTTACAATCAAAGATCCCTGTACTCCTTCCCTATCTATTGGCTGCGAAGCTAGGGCAAAAACGGAGAACTATACGTTTGTTTCTTTTATTGCAAATAATTCGATAAATTAATTGTACTTCAAGACATGACATTTAGTTCCCGCACCTATTAAAACATAATTATTTTTATGTTTTAATAGGTGCGGGATACTTTCATGACGTTGGATGCTGAAAGTTTTTCGAATATTTCCGAATTAGTTCATCTAACTCCTTTTGTATAGTTCACCGTACTACTCCTTCTACCCAACTACTTACAAGTAGTTGACGCAACTACATTCTTTCCAACTATCATGGATAGTTGCTTCAACCAGTTTTCTGATTGCAGCAACTATTTTTCAGTTACCGCAACTACAAATATTAGTTGCCATAACTAGTCTTCCGTTTTTAATGTAGATACATGGCTGAACTTTCTCGATTTTTCTCAGTGCACAATTGATAATTTTTACTAGAGATAGTATTCTGCTTCAACTGATCAAATCATTATTGTTAGTATGCATTATACATGATGATTCAATTTGTAGTTATTTAAATATAATTAGCAGATTCCCGTGACTTCGTCCGCGATGGTATTGAATGAAATCAATCCATTAGAATTGAAAATAGACGAGAAAAACCTGAATTTCATTATGAGATGCAATTTCTGTTCGTTGACAACGATTCAATTGTTTAGAAAGAAGACTCTGTTATTATTTATGTTGCGAAGTCAGGAACTTACTGAAAAGAAAAAAAAAGGTCCAGTTAGAAGAACTTGGTATATTGCATTGCTCCAGATTTTAATTATTAATAGCAAAATCGACTGTTATAAAATTAAGAGTTTTTTTTCTGTTACGTTAACCAATCAGTGATTCGTATTCAGTTAAAGACAAAATTGTCCCTGTGAAAGACTTAAGCATATTGTAAAGGTTCCATTTTACATCGTTTATGATAGATTCAATTGTTACAAACAATGCACGTCAACCAAAAGTAGCCAATAATTTTCCCCACAATGCTCTCTACATATCTACAAAATTTAGTCGCAATCAGATTAGCCGTTTTGAAGATTTCTTCATAACATTATTTCAGTAAAAGAAAAAATTACGCTTTGGAAACATTAAAACATATTGAACAGATCCCGTTTTCCATTGTTTCTAACAAATTTAATTGTTATAAACAATTTAAAAGCAAAAAAACTAGCCTATAACTTTCCCGAATATGCTCCTCTCTCCATGATAACCTCAAGGCAGTTTCAGGTATCGACTTTTAGTGGACTACTTCCTCAGCCAATTGATGGAACGGTAAGGGAAAATGAGGCGAACAATCTCTACAATAAAACGTCGAGTTACATGGCTTTTAATAAATATTTTTATGAAATTAGTGACTAAAGTAGTAACTGTTTATTTCAACATTATGCTGTATGAAAATTACAAAATTATTGTTTAAGTAGTCACAGCTCAGAGAAATTAAAAATATTTCATTATTCGCAGGGTTTGAATGCTAATGATGTTTGGGATGATTCTGTTTTAATCAAAGCATATGATAAAGCTGTAAGCTTGGCAAAGGAAGAAGTTGCAAAACGACTTAGTATAAACACTAATCATACTAATCAGTATGATCAGAAAAAGTATTATCCGGCGAGTGCAACAGAAAAGGTACTAGAAAATTGTTTTATTTTTTCAACGTTTGAGTTTCAACATAGGAACTAACTGTAATTCTTTCGAATCGTTTCAGATATTTTCATGTTATTTAAAATTTTTGAATCTTATTACAAAATTTTTAATTCAAATACTGTTGTGAACCCCAATTTCCTGTGCAACACTTTTTCATAATTTGAGGTCATATTCTTTCTATTATAAATCTCATGAGCAATTTAAATGACGGTCAATATCTCCAGAAAATTCTTTGAACTATAACGAATACACGTTGACTGGCTGTTAAGATCAATTAATTATAAATTTTACATTGTGCAAAAATATTTTTTTCATTCTGTAATTAAATAGAAAACAACTGATAGTAATGACTACCAACATGATCATTAACATATAAAAAGAAGACAAATCGATTACTAGCACAGTAACGAACATAAATGGTGTGTGATTTTACATAGGAGAGTATAGGGAAAACGAATGTATAACCTTCATAAATTAAACAGCATTTATGTCCGGTACTGTAAAAGCATTATTAAATAGAAGTATTATCATGTGTAAGTATCACTTTTTTATGTACTACTTCTATAGTTGACTTATTCATCAGTTATCGTCTGGTTGTTAGAGGAGCGAGCTCACTCTGATTAAACATTCCGCTAATATCCTATAAAGAAAAATTTATTAGAGTAAATCGGAAAATTGTATTAGAAATATCAAACTTTTCATATGTACAAGATAGTTTCTTGTAAATTCTTCTAAAACAAGTGATATTTCTGATGCAATTTTCCGATTTATTCCTATAACTTTAGAAGAATCTATAACCACGTTTTGTATTACTTTCTCATTCACACAACTGAATAAAATTATGATGATTTTAAATGGTAGTTAGCAATTCTATTGGAAACGAAGAGTTTCCGTAGGAAATGGAAGGAAATACTCAAATAGGATGAAAAATGCATATTAGTACACAATCAACAATTGTGATTACCTAATATTCCAAATATTTCTAATAGGAAAGATACATTTATAGTCAATGTGCAAACTGTCTAAAAATAGAAGAGAACCATTCTCTGATATTCATACATATCAAGTGATAACAACAACTGTTTGTACTGAAGGGGGCGTTCGGATTAACAGTAGTTTTCAGGGTACGAAAAGTTGTTTCTCTTATTTGTTTTTGATTTTAAAATCCGTTGTGATTTTAACCGGGAGTGGCGGTTCTTCGCAGTTTACCGTGCGAGGAATTGAATATGGAAGGGGAAAAGGAAAGAATTAAGATTTGACTTCAATAAAGCAAATTTATACTTACCATGAAAATAGAGCTTAGAATGGAAGAAACTATTATGCTTACTCTTCTTCTTTGATGGTTCTCAATAAGGCCCGGAAAGGTTGAAAAAATGGTAGACAAATACCAATAAACACTGAGGGTTAGTTTTGAAGACTCTTATTTATTCTTATATAAGATATTCTTTTACTTGACTTATAACTTGTATTTTGAAGGTAAATTTCGAATTCTGATTATTAAAAAATGGTTACAATTCTTAATTTAACGATTCGCAAAAACCTGAATATACAATTCACTTTACTTAGTTCAATAATGTTAAGTTCACAATGTGACACTTTGCACTTGGACTCGATCATAAATTTATTATTTGTATGTAGTTATTAGTTAATTTCAATACTACGATTTTCCCCCGTTTCCTGCTCTTTAAGCTACGATACTCGGTATGTTGGAGGTTAGACTTGCCACATTCCGAACTATGAATATTTTCGAATTACCCATAAATAATTAAAAACTCATTTTGCATTCGGTTACAAATTCATATTGACGTCTGCTGTCACTAAAAACAACCAAATGAACAAAATCGGTTAATGTTCAACAGACTTTAAAATTAGGCTGTTTTTTAAAGCATATTGACTGGACTATGCCCTACAATACCCTTTACATTTTTGCAAAATTGATTGATTCTTACTAAATAGTATAGGACCATTTTTGGTCTTCCAATAGACCTGTAACTTTCCTGTTAATCTTTATAAATTGTATATTAGAATTTGTCAGAAATTATGAGTTTTGTCGATTTTTTTATCAGGGTAGTTATCGACGCAATGATCTTAGTTAATATTCATAATATTAGAAAATATAATTCAAGATCATATTGTTTTATATATTCTTATAGTCTAGTAGCCGTGTGAATTTATCGTGCATTAACTATAGAATAATAATAAAAACATTTTGGTTAGATATTCTTGTAGAGGATGATTAGAAGAGTATTTGTGCAAATTTTCATTACTCGGAAACAATAATTACTATTTGTAAAATATTCGATATTTTTAAATTTCTACACTGTCAGTTGAAGATGGCAGTACTTCACGGTTACTCCAGTAACTGCTGCTGCCTGTAGTTCACAAACTCGAAACTCTGGCGTCACGAGCTCTCTTCCCGCCTGTACAGTGCACGCGTCCGGACGTTTGTTCTCACTCGCACACAGTTTTTTCGTGAATTTTGTGTTAATTAGTGGTTTACTAACTCCACTCAACCTCCCAGTGCATCAAGACATCTGCAACACTCATCCAACTCTATAAAATCATAAGCTTGCACTCTAACAGCACTGGGAAAATCATTTTTCTGGTTCCCACGCCGACAAGCGTGCAACAGATACTCGCGTCAGTTTTAGTGAATACACGACAGTTGATCACGAATCAATAATATTCGAATCAACTGCACTGAAACGCATTCAAATTCATTGTGGGTGCTTTACGACCACCCACACACTCCATGTTGTCTTCGACTTCATCCAAGTGTGGCCAAAATTCATTAATTCATCGTGTGACGTCACATCAAAGCTCATACGTACTCTTCACATATACAACGCTCACACTCACGCATTCCAAGAATCCATCACGTGGACCTGCGACACTCAACACTCTCTAAAGACAATACTCAATGGCTATTACCGTAATCTAACATTCTTGTGCTACAGTGACTATCTAAATACATTAGTTGTGATTGTGATATTACAGTATTTTCACCTAGTGCCTAAGTATAGAAATATAGACATAAAGAAAACAATCACGCCTGCTTATTGACTTAATTCGGCACCCATCTCCAACATCCTGAGCTCTCTTTAATTTAATTTCATATGAACTAATTAAGTCTTTGTACTTGAAAATACAACATATTCAACACCTCGAATTTTTACACTATTGTTTATTGAGTGTCAAAGTTTGGCAAATTGCGTTTTCCACCTTTCATCGCTTACGGCGTGCAAAAAATCAAGCATTTTAGGTGCTCCGGCAGTAATTATAAAAAAGAGAGAACATAAATCAGTTACAGCCGGTTTGTAATAATGACCAAGTAACTGTAAAAAAATATATTGAAGAAAAAAAATTGTTAATAACGAAAAAATTGTTTAAAAAACAATTAAAAAAATTTTATAATTTTCCCGGAGGCATCGATAGGAAGAGCATCCTTTATTATTGAAAAATAATTTGTTTAATAACCATAATTGTTATTGGAACTATTTTTTTTATAAACAATTGAAAATTAACAGACTGAAAATAAACTTTTAATAAATTCAAAATTCTGTTTTTATCCATAACGAATGCTAAAAACAATTTTTAAAAAATTGTTTTATATTCTTCACGTGAAAATATGAAACTTTGCTGCACATAATTTTTATATTAAAAAATAATTCACCCCCAAAAATAAGGGTAAAAGAATCCAAAAACAACATTCGGATTTCTTTCGGTATTAAAAACGAAATGTTTTAAAAAACTGAGATCACCATTTTATAGAGCGGGAAAAATCCTATCTGCTCCTAAATTGGCTATGAAATGTGCCTATAAACAGAAAAAAATATAAGGGTGCGAAGTTCACGAATTTTTGTACTGTTTGGGTCTTTACGAATTTCTTTTCACGCAATTAATCGTCTTTCTATTTCTATTGCCTTTTCTAAGGCCTCGGTGACGTTGTCACATCGAGACATTCGTTGATCTATATCATTTCTTAATTTTTGAACAGAACATTGAGCTACGGCTTTATCAGTATTATCTTTATAGATTTGAATTTCACTCGATTCTGATATTTTTGTTAAATCACTGATGCCTGAATCAATAAACTTAAAACTTTTAGGTCTAGCGGGCGGAACTAAACCTTCAGGATATAGTGGATCACCGGTATTTCCCAACGAATAACCTTTTTTATTATTATCAGATGATCCAGAGTTATCAGACATTTAAACTATTACTATATAGAAAATCATTGCAATTCCGGATGAGCCCCCAAAAATTGTTATGTAATTTTGCTCTTTAAAGATGTCAATATGTAAACCATATGCTGACTCTTAGAGACTTCAAGTTCCTCTTTTAAGTCCTAGCCTTCCAAGTAATAGACAGGGATGAGGGGATCTTTGATAGAGAAAGTGAAAATGTGTGATTTATATAAAAACCATAATAAAATTTATTGAAAAATTATTATAATAATTTAATCGTTACCAACAGATGATTTCTTTTACTCTGTTCAAGATGAATTACAATTAACTGGTCCTTAGTCGATGCTCTAGTCAGCGCAATTATTCACTTTTACTCGCGAGTTACTTTAAATAATTTGACGATCAAATAAACTTCATACGAAAATTTACAAACTTTGAAATATTATCAATACAATATTCAAGACAAATTAAGACTTACGATTTCAAGAGATGTTACACGACGATTTAATCTCGATCTTACTTTTCCCACAACTGACTGATGTATCAAACTTTACGTATTTTTTTAGTCGAATGTGACATAATTAGAAGTCCCTTGCTTCAGGCGCACACAAGTCCCTTCGCATGGTCTTTCCTTTTTTGGAAAGCTAATGCTCTTTTTACGTCACGTAGTCTTTTTTTAAAATTTTATTGCTTTTTGCCATGTGGGTTTTCCAAATAAAATATCAAAAAAATGATTTTCTCAATCCCTTCTATTTTAAAGAGATCTTTGGAAAACTCAAAAAATAACTTGAGTAA